CCCCTTTCACATCTATTATTTTGAAAATGTGAGCTCAAAATGCCTAACCTTAATTAGTTAATTCCTCTTTTTACTTGATCATAACGACGCTATACATAAAATTGAAAAGACATCTATTAGTTAAAATGAGGTTGTTATTTGCGCGACAATAATAAACATCGTATTAAATTGCAAAAGAATTTAAATTGGGCTAAATACTGGTGTAATAGCGCGTTTGTTTTGTCAAAAATCATAATTTTCCAAGCTTAAATTAATACCGTTTGCGCTAATAGTCAACTAAAACCCAAGTTACCAAACCTAGACGTTACTTGATATATTTGTGTTGTGTTATGCTCTAAAATGCATTTGCCACTCGCACTACATTATTTGCGGTGGAATCATAGATTTTGTGTCACTTGCGATCTGCGAGTACAAAGTATTCGTTGCCCGCTTTTTATATATATAGCTTTTTTGGGTTCTTATAATGTAGAATAATGAAAAAACTTCTCGAACTCAAATTTTGTAAACCAGGGGGGGGGGGTGTCTTTTCTAACAAACTAAAAATGGCTTGCGCACGAGATTTAATTAAAAAGCTTTCAAAGCTTTCTTAAAAAATCAGCTTTTGCATGCTTAATTAATTAATGCCTTTGCCTAATTTGCATATGTCAGCAACATGCAAATTAGGTAAAGGTATTAATTAAGCGTGCGAAAGGCTGATTTTTTAGGAAAAAATGAATAGTTAAAGGACTTAAATTAAAGTAAATTGTCTGAAATTTTGTTCAGTAATTAAAAACCGAACAAATTTTCCATCTATTAACTCAAAATACTTAAACTGAAGAATTGCATTATTTATTATACAGGGTGTATCAAAAAAACTGAACAGATTTGAAATTACTCTCAATTTCGCAAAACAGCTCGTGGTTTTGTTATATATAGATTCCTTGAGTATCCATAATGTAGAATAATGAAAAAAAATACTCGAACTCAAATTGTGTAAACCAGGGCGGTGTTTCTTTTCCAACAAACTAAAAATGGCTTGCGCACGAAATTTAAAAGCTTTAATCGTTATACTAGCTACAGCACAATTGACAAACTGTATTGACAGTTTTTATTGCATATTTCACAAATAAAAATCGAATCAATTGACCATTTGCGTAATAGACTAAATCTTGATCTCAACGAAAATTTCATTACAGGTTGAAAGAGCATCACAAAATTAGTAATATTCCAAAGTTTCGTTGCAAAATGTTGAAAAATGCGGAAAATATAGCCTTGCGAAATTTGCAATTTTCAGTCATTTTAGATTACAAACCGGAAATTGACAGCCTCGAAGGGTTTGGGGCTGTCAATTTCCCGTTTGTAATCTAAAATGACTGAAAATTGCAAATTTCGCAAGGCTATATTTTCCGCATTTTTCAACATTTCGCAACGAAACTTTGGAATGTTACTAATTTTGTGATGCTCTTTCAAGCTGTGATGAAATTTTTGTCTAGACTTGTTTAGTTCAAAATTTGGTCTATTACGCAAATGGTCAATTGGTGACCGTCAAAACTTAGTTACGATTGGGGTTCATATTAAGCTTATGATCGGTGCATGCAGTATTAGGGATAGAGTTAAAAAATTCCAGTTCGCATGCCATTCCGTCTTATTCCGGATGGCATTTTACATTCACCGTTGATAAACGGCGACTATGTTCTGTAGACTGTACCTCTCTTCTCTTTCTCCACTTTTGGAGTTAAAATGACTCCCCGAAATTAACAGTGCAATACTTCCAAAATTAACAGTACACGACTTTAACATTAGGCTCGAGCTTCGGTCTCGCTCAATATTGAAGTATCCACTTAATATTTTGACATATTGGGCTCAGTAGAATCCAATATATAGAGAATAATACATGGGTGCGCGGAAATACCAGATTTATTTCGAGTATATGTACCTAGTATAATGTCGTCGCTGGACAATTTTACAAGAAAAAAACGCCCAAAAGTTTTTGACAAGTTAGCAAGTACAATCACTATATTAATAGAAACAGGTTTAAATACAAGTATTTAAAAAAATAAATAATGCCCAAAGAGCAGCGGGAAAACATGTTCATGAGAATAATAAATTGTTCCGAAAATTTGGCAAAAAAACCCCCAAAATTAATTTGCATACAGTCGACTTAATTTACTCTACAAAATATCTATACAAAATATCTCAACTTTTTTGTCAACAATACTGTGCTAAACCATTTATTTTACCCTAAGTTTTAAAACAAAAACATAACAAAATATTTAAAAATTGCAGGCAAAGTTGCGATACGTGTGTTTGAACAACTGTCAAAACAATGTAACAGAGAAGAATATATTATTGATGCTATTTTTAAACAATTACACAATTCGCTCTCATCGTATATGGCTGATAGCCGACTCGGTGCTACGTACCTCGTGAGCTATCAGCTCATATACGACTCGAGCTCATTGTTAAATATGCGGCGAGTATAGCTCAACCATTCACATTGCAGAATAGCTCATATACAGTGGATGGAAATATTCTAAATATATGAACAAAAGATGAATATTAAGAGTCAGTCAACGCTCTACCAAAAGTCGTGGGTTTTCTCCGGGAACTCCAGTTTCCTCCCACAGAGAATGTTGACAGGGTGGGTTGGGATTATCCCCCTAACTGACCCTTCCAGGGTAGCTGTGCTCCGTAATCAGACATAAGTCATAATGTGGCTGCCATAAGCCTTCGACTCGATCAGGTTGAGCTGCGTCGTTCGTAATTCAGCTTAGCTCTCGGCTGCAAGTAAGGATGATTAGCACATCCCCCTCCCCCACTTATTTGCTATTACTAAAATCTCATCTCAGCGGTAATCCAAGAGCTTTGTAGAGAAATGCATGAATAAAGGCAGCCTAAAATAAAGAAAATAGATCTATCATGCCAGATTAGGATAGACGGATTAATTATGGATAACAAAGCTTTCGTTGGTAGTGATGCAACTACCTGAAAAATACAAGGAGAAATTTGACGTTTAGAGCGAAGGCCCTTCGTCGGGAAGTTAGTATAGCCAAACGTCCTGACGAAGGGCCACTAACTACAAACGACTGACATAGTCTGTCAAGATATGATGGTCTAGAAGCCCGGCAAACTTCAAAGCTACAAAATAGAAGACTTTTGTTTGATGTTGAACTGTACCTCACCGTGCAGAAATCCTTTGTCTCAACTTCGTCAAAAATTATTCATCGTGGTTACACGTTTCATCTCAGCTATCCCTATTGGACGGTTACTTAATTATACGAAAATACAAAGAGCTCAATCACCGTGACCGTGCACAAATTAACATAAACTCAGACAAAACATAATACAATGACTTCTGTTTAGTTTTCAGGCCATCATATCTTAAAAGACTATGCGACTGGCTACTAACTTCGCAACGTTTCTTTATTTCATATAATTTCATATTCACATTTCATTGTTCATATATTTATAAGGGCCTTCGCTCGAAACGTCGAATTTCTCCTTGTATTTTTCAGGAAGTTGCATCGCTACCAACGAAAGCTTGTTATTATTGGCACTACCTACACTGGCACAGACAGTTCTTAATTATGGATACCCCCAGGGGTGGAAAAAGTATTGGAACCTGGGAACCTAGTTCCCAGAATTTTGTTTGAGTTGAGAGTTTGCAGAAAATTTTCCAGAGAATATTTCAACATTTTGAGATAACTCTGTTTACTCAACTTACAACTATTTCACTTTATTTACACTGTATACACACTAACATCAGCAACAGAAATTAATTCTGCATGTTACTCACCCCTGCAATCACAATCATGAGGTAAAATGGTAAATATATGCTCTGCAAAGTCTCCAATAAAATGCAAATTAAATAGTAAACTTGTAAATAAAATATGCAATGAAATATAAGCTTCAAGTGCCAGTGCTATATGCTATTATTATACTGCTATAATAATATATAACATTATAACAAAAAATGCAAATCATACAAAAGGTCAAGTGATGGAATAAATAAGATTATAAGACACTTAGTTAAGCGTTGGATCCTTACTAGTTGATCATAACTCATAAACGTGGTATATAACAGACAACCATTGCGATGCACAAGCATATGAAAACCAACCTAAGAAAATTTCTAGCCTTTGACCCATATACCCAGAAAGAAAAAAAAAATTCCACCCCTGATACGCCCTTCCGATGGTATGTGAGGGGCGTCACACAATCAATAACTATTTACAAACTAGAAAATACATGCATGCAGAAACCCTCGCCTTGCTGACAAAACCATTGTATGTTCCGAACATGAAGTTCTAAAATAGTTGTCATGGTAACACGATAATTTTTTAAGAATATCCTTACAAATGAAAAATCGCCTAAAAGGGAATCAATATTAAAGATACACTGAAATTATATTCTGTCTTGTTTAGTTGTTTCATATACGCAAAGGCCGTCGGGTTTTAAAGCCATTATTATAATTCAATATTTAAAACAAACTTACCTTCGTTAAGGTTACATTATATGATGAAATCACTGATTTCATTATTTTTTACATTTTTATTGATTTATATTCAGGGGCCGGAGATCTCTCGATTGCCGCAAGTTTTTTTCAAAAATATTAAAATGCGTCCGAAATATAACAAAAAATGTTATAACCACTGATTCCTTTGCCGCGAAAGTTGTAATTGTAATTGACCATATGAGGCTTGATGTGATACTCGATACCGGATGTGTGACCTTCAACCTCGCTTGTGTCTTCGTGGTGCACGACAGATCTTCAACTGTATTTTCGTTTGGCCAATTTAGATCGGTCTGTATAGCTATCCCTTTTTTACATTTGCGTTTCGCCGGCATATTAGCAAGTTTTTTCGCGTGGTTTCTCGCATGTAGGGTTTGTGATGAACTGATGATGAGCGAATGACACCGAAAACCCTTGCCAAAACACACTTTACTAATTTTAATCCGATTGTAGTTCGAGGTGATAACAGAGAGCGGAAAAACCCCGCCAAACCTAATATCGTCTTTTACGGAGATTGAAATATTCTCAGATTGTCCCCACAAAAATTGTTTAGAAACGCGCACGTTTTATCCGATTCTCTCCAAACTTTGCCACAATGTTGAACAATAGTACAGCAGCAAAACCGTGTTCGCGTTTTTTATTTAGTGCCATACTTTTCAAGTTATAGGCATCTATTCTGCCGTTCTCCCAAAATTTAGATGAGTCAACTTCTCTGCTTTATATCAAAGCAAATATAATACATGTCAAAAAACGCGAACACGGTTTTGTTCTTTGATCATTTGAGATGGGAAATATTATGTTTCGGAAGCCTTTGAGGTAAATCAGAAGCGTTCTAATCTCGTGGCGCAAAGGCCGTCATATTTTCAAAAGTAACCCGTAGCAAGTACAGTTTTTAAAGGTGTAGAATTTTTGGCAAATCTTTAGCTACAGCAATGATTTATCATTATGCATGCAAAATTTGAAGGGGAAAACTTGAAAATTGAGCGCGCGTTGAGCATTTTGGTGAAATGGGTTTCCATCATGTGGAGTAACCTTAACGTCGGCTCCCTTCTTTTAGCCGATTCTTTCGCAGTTTCTTTCTGCGGGTGCTTTTGAAATTTACAAAATATTGCAAAAATGCGAGTTAAAAATGAAATATATTCGCAAGAAATTTATCAATCATGAATCATCAAATCAAGAAATGTTTGCTATTTCGCTGTGACGTGATGCAGTCGTTTATGCAAACTTTAAATTGGACCAATCAGTGTCCGCTATTCATGACAGTCCGCCATATTTTTGAGGTCAGTGAGGATGACCACCACTGAGCTGTATAATAACTGGAGGACCTGCTACTATACTTCGTTCAGTCAACAAAGTGTCCGCAAAAACATGGCGGATTTTAAGTGAAAATGACGCCATTTCCATGACAACACTTACTTTATTTTCATGGTAGGTACCACTGACCAGGCTAAATTCTGAGCCCACGGCCGTTTTCACACCCCACCCCCCTGGTTTTTGCAAAACATTTTTGCAGATAATATAGTTCTCGACTTCTCGTTGTTTTGAACCTTTTTTAAAATGTTTTCGAGATAAACTTTCTGCCTTTGACCATTTGGTCAAAGATATCCAAGTCGTACGTGTTTAATCTCGCCCGTGAAAGACGACAAACTAATTTTAAAAACTCAAGAAATGCGGGAAAAGACGATACTTGAAATATATGGATTTACACTCGGATTTACAAAGGTAAAAAACGTATTTTCATATTCAATTTTATTCAGACTTTTATATCTTATTTGACATCTACTATCAGACTATCTTTTAAAAGAGGGAATTAGGTTTTGTGTTATGCACCACTTAATTTTATGTATAAGCTGGGGGTGCTGGAAGCTGTCAATCTGATCTGGGAAGGTGGTTTCTTCCTTGGGGATACTTCTTGATTTTTGTGTCACATAAATAGTAATATAGAGGCTTGAGATAAATCACACTTTTCCCTAAGCTGAGGTAATAAGATTTAACTCAGAGGTGTGTGCCAAGGCATTACATGTGTGTTCACACCTCATTCCCAGGATGGCCTGTTTTCTTACAAGTTTTCTCAGTAAGTATCACTCTGAATAAACAATGCATAGTTCTGATACCCCTGGTTTAAGCTGAGGAGTATGTTAGGTCACATTCTTTTGTTTACCTTGATCATATGCAATAATTATGTTACTGGTGGATTCTTGTACAACCTGTATAATTAATCTATTCTTTTTTATTGCAGGTTTATTCCACAATGACACACTCCTTTGCGGGTGGCAAAATACAGTACCAAGCCACATTTTTGGAAACTGAACATACTGTATTTTACATGCTTCCAGAAATTATGTCACCTTGGCTATAGGCTATAGGCTGTAAAGTCATTTTCATGATTGAGACATTGGACTAAAACTCATGCCACATTCATGAAAACAAGGCTCCATAGCCAAAGTACATACACATTCTGGAAGGGTGTACTTGACTTTTTGTAAAATTATTAGCAGTAAACAATTTAAAAAACAAAAATGTATAATTTTAATTGCTATAAAACTTATTTACACTTCAATAAAATTATGATAATCATATAATTATTTATTAATTATAATTAATTGTTATGCATGGTATTGTAATTATAACTTCATTTTGTAAGTTCAAGTTCAAGTTTCAAGTTTTTTATTTTGCTCAATAATTTTACATGGAAAATAAATTACAAATACATACACAATTATAAAGGTCACATTTTTTTTTAAGAAATTTAATAAATATATCGTAATTATAGTTTTAGAGCCTGAAAGCTAAATAAACTATGAAGTTTTCGAGTTAGCCTCCAGTTACTGTTAATATATTATTTAGAAGAAGAGGTAAGAAAATCCAAAAGAAAGAAAAATCACACTATTTAATATATTAGGTTCCACAAGGAAGAAGATTTATTATTTATATTATTATTACACTTAGGTATATCATGATTAAGTAGAATCAATTATTTCTTGCAAGATATTGTTGTGTCAGTAAATAATGTTTCAACTTTTTGGAAAAGGAAAATATATTTAGATCCTTTAGCTGATCAGGGATTTTTTTCCAGAGATCAATTACTATGAAAGAGATCATCTGTTTTCCGGTATTTGATTTCACACGTGGTTTATACAGATTTTGTTTAGACGCATATCTAGTATTGTAATTGTGAATATTGCTTGCGTATTGAAAAAATGCATTAAATAAATTTGGCAAAAGTCCTTTATGCCATAGATGAATAAATTTAAGGGCATGTAGGGAGTAGACATTATTTACTGTTAAAATATCTAGAAAATTTAGCAAGGGGAGAGCGCTTTCAGTGTGTTTTCCATAATTCACTGCATTAAAGATTATTCTTACAACTTTATTTTGTTTTATTTGTACTTTGTTAATATGACATTTATACGCGCTTCCCCAAGCTAAAATTGAATACGATATAAAAGGGTATATAAGATTGTAATATAGTTGTCGGAGCTGTTTAATGGAAAGATAGTGCCTCAATTTAGAGAGAATTCCAATGTTTCGAGATATTCGAGAACAAATGTATGAAACGTGATATTTCCATGATAGCGAAGTATCAATCATAACCCCTAGGTATTTGATATGATCTTTCCTGTCCAATGAGTGGCATGATCCTTCCTTTGTCTTAATGTGTATATCAATGCTCATGTCTTTTTTCTTTGGTGACTTAATTATCATAAAATTCGTTTTGGACATGTTTATTGATAGTTTATTGACGTCACACCATTCTTTGATCTTTTCTAATTCCGAATTCATAAGGATTCTAGTGATTTTAAGTCACTTGCAGAAGCAAATACATTTGTATCATCCGCAAATATCTTAAATTCCAGTTTTTCAGAACAATTTGGTAAGTCATTTATGTAAATTAAAAATAGTAGTGGTCCCAATGTGCTACCTTGAGGGATTCCACAAATCATTGTTTGCTTTGGAGATTCATGTTCCCCTAGTTTTACATATTGTTGGCGATTTGAAAGATAACTATTGAACAATTGAAAAGGAAGTCCCCGAATTCCATATGATTCTAACTTAGTGATGAGTATCTCATGATTAATTTTACAGTGTCAAAAGCTTTGGAAAAATCAAGAAACACTCCACAAGTATACAATTTATTGTCTATGGCTTTTCTAAGGTTTTCGGTAATTTCGGTTATTGCTTGGGCAGTAGAACGACCTTTCCGAAAACCAAATTGAAATTGAAAAAGAATATCTTTCTTTTCAATATATCGGATAAGTTGTTTATATATTAATTTTTCAAATATTTGTGCTATAGTCGATGGCGTTGATATTGGACGAAAATTTGCAGGGTCAGTGATCTCTCCGCCTTTATCAACAGGTGTTACTTTAGATATTTTTAAAATATCAGGGACAATACCTTGAAGCAAACATTGGTTAAATATTGTCGTCAGTGTTTCGCTAATATATTCGCATGCCAATTTTATACATTTTTGAGGTATTCCAATTGACGATTTATTAAGCTTTAATCCCATAATAGCATCATGCACTTCATGTGTATAAATAGCGCGAAACCAGAAACTATCTTGAAAAGTTCGATTAATGTAACTTCTAGGATTAATAGGACTTTTTGGGAGTTTCTCAGCTAGATCATGGCCGATATTTATATAATGAGTATTTAATTGGTGAGCGATATTGGCTTTATCCGTATAAGACTTGTTCTTATATAATAATTTAGTTATTGTTTGCGAACTTGTTTTTTTCTTGTTAATTATCATGCCAATCAACTTCCATGTTGCCTTTAAATTTTGACTGTTTATGTTGAATTGCGTTGCATAATAATTTTTTTTAGCTACTTCTTTAATCTTATTTAGTGTATTATTGTATTTTTTGTATTGTTTTATTTTTTCCGGATCATGACTTAGAAAATGGGTTTTAAAGAGTCTTTGTTTTCTTTTAATTGATTTAAGGATAGCGTTTGATATCCATGGTTTGTTTAATTGTTTCTTTTTTTTATTAGATACTTTACGAAACGGTGCATGTTTGTCAGATATTCCCTGAAGTGTTTTTATTATGTCATGCATGCTTTTGTTGACATCACTTTTAATAAAGATATTAAAATTTATATTTCTGATATCATTTAAGAATAGATCACTATCAAAATTTTTGAAATCTCGATAAAAATGGGTATCCTTGTTGATAGGAAGTTTATAAGAAATTGTGCAAAACACAAGGAGGTGGTCTGAATTAAATATCTGCTAAGCATATTCCGGCTCTCAGAACCTTTTGAGGCGTATTTGTATAGATATGGTCTATAAGGGTAGAGGTATGGTGCGTGATACGGGTAGCCTTGGTAATTAAAGGCATAAGTCCTTGGTCAAGCAGCATATCAAGGTATTCAGATGTTTGGTTGTCGCTATTGTATTTTAAAAAATCTATATTTGTCCCCTAATATGATTACTTCTCGACCCTTATTGTTTAATTTAATCTAATCTAATCTAATGTAATTGTTCTACATGTTCTTCAGATGTTGATGCCTGTGCCATCTCTTTTGTATATTAAACAGATCATTTCTGAAAAAAAAGACGACATTATTATCATGATACATTATACCACAAAATGTCATATACACATATGTTAACCCTTCAAGTGGCAATGTGTTTTGATGTGCCTCACTGTATTATTTTTGTCTTACTGTATTATTTCAGACAATTCAACAGTCCTTTGATCCGAGCTTCTAAATTAAATGTCATGTTTTCATTTTCAGCAATGCAATTACATTCCCAACTAACTACTAAACTAGCATAACAAAAAGTTAGTGAAATTGCTGCCGTCGGTGTATTCGCGTTGCGAACAAGTTAGCGCTTAACTTTGATTACCTTATGCTTGACATGGAGGCCTGGTTACCAATCGCGTCTCAACGTCAGTGTTACATGACCGTAATGGCGTAATTCGTAATCAAAATGACGCCATGGTGCTAGCCAGTGTGCTGAGAGGCATTCACCCCCTGATAATATTCAAAATGGTGGACCTCCATAAGCGCACTGGGTAGGACCATGGCGTCAGCATTTTGATGATGAATCATGTGGCAGCCAGGGGCGTAACGTTATATCAGGGGGCCCCCGGTTCAAAATTTTCGAAGCCCCCCCCTCTAGTAGAAGTGCCAAAGGCACGAGTTGAACGCCATATATGCACAAGTTTTCTAGGGGTCCAGGGCATGCTCAGCCGGAAAATGTTTGAATCTAGAGTCTCTGAAATGCCATTTCCCGGACCAAAGGGAGAGATTTTACAGAATTCTGATGGTCAGAAAACGACATTGTGACATATCAGAGGCCGGCCTGGCCAACGTTTTTGCTCTACAGCCTGACCCTGGGGGCCCCCATTTGGCCCATTGGGGTTGGGGGCCCCTGGGTTCGCCTGGTGCGAGCCCATAGTAGTTACGCCACTGGTGGCAGCATCATGTGGCAGCTGCAATGCATTGCAGGTAATCCACAACAAAATTTGTTAATTGTCTTGATATAGTACTAATATAGTGATGGGTTGTAGGAGGTATTTGAGTAGTTGTAATGAAATAACTTGCAATACTCTACCAATAAAAAGTTATACACCGTAAACCTCCGACTATAAGCCCCCCTGAATATAAGACCTGCCCCCTGAATACAAGGCCCGCCCCCTGAATACAAGCCCCGCCCCCCCCCCGAATATAAGACCACCAAATATAAGTCCCCCGAATATAAGCCCAGTAGCCCACTACGTTATTCAACACTGACATAGTCTTTTGAAGGGGCCCTACAGTCATTTTTTAGTTGAAAAGCCACCTTAAGTATTGTTTACATTTTTGTTATTGTCGCCACTGGACATGCGCACCACGGCATGCATGCGCCTTCCGGTGTGCGGAAGTACTCATATACAGGTGCTCATATCAACATATTTATATTATCAAGAAAAGGACGTCCGATGCCCGATAGATCATTGCTTCTCACACTATAACTATTAAAATGCACACCAATTGAATTCAGGCACGATATTGCTCAATTGTTTTCCCCGTGGAGTTCGGAAATTCATGGCCAAGATTCTAATGGCTTTTCTAAATTGTGCTGAATGTTAAGTGGTGTCCGCATTCATACTGTCCGACCAGTGGCGCCGGCAGGATTTATTTTTGGGGGGGCAAATCATTCGAGTGCCAAAGGCACGAGCCTACTAGGGGGGTTCGGGGGTATGCCCCCCCGAGAAAATTTTGAATTTTGGGTGTCTAAAACCGCATTTCCTGCGTTTTGGAGGCACTTTAAGAGAAACATAAAAGTTTTAATAAATCACTTTTTTAGTAGATCGATACATAAGTGATTTCCATACAATATATGAATCAAATGTATTTTTAATAAAACCAAGAATGAATTGAAGAATTTAATGTTATAATACATATTTAGTTACCAGTGGCGTAGCCAGACCTTAATTTTTTGGGGGGCGAACTTTTGAGACCGTCTAGGAGGGTCCGGGGGTATGCACACCCGGGAAAATTTTGAAATCTAGGGTCCCTGAATTGAGATTTCAAGCATTTTGGGAGTGAAATTCCGAAGAGTTCCGAACATTATAAAGTACATCGAAGACATGAATTTTTCCAGACATTTGTACTCGGAATTAATGTTATAATATATGTTATAATACACAATGTTATAATACACCATTTCCGCATTCTCAAAATTGCGTTGCTTTTTCATACGATACAGAATAAATCTGAGAAGAAATATTCATGCTATGATGATGAATACATGTATTTAACAGTTAAAAATCTAAACTAAATCTATTCTTCTTGGAACCAGCATTTTATCGGATTGTTTGCATGAAATCAAATCGCTATTATGAAATACTCGGTGAAGAACAATATGAATTACACACAGTGGCGCCGGCAGGATTTTTTTTTTTTGGGGGGGGGGAATCATTCGAGTGCCAAAGGCACGAGCCTACCAGGGGGGTTCGGGGGTATGCCCCCCGAGAAAATTTTGAATTTTGGGTGTCTAAAACCGCATTTCCTGCGTTTTGGAGGCACTTTAAGAGAAACATAAAGGTTTTAATAAATCACTTTTTTAGTAGATCGGAACATAAGTGATTTCCATACAATATATGAACCAAATGTATTTTTAATAAAACCAAGAATGAATTGAATAATTTAATGTTATAATACATATTTAGTACAAGTTCCATCTTAGCTTCGGGGAGCTGCGTCGGTAAATCGTTCAACGAGTCCTTCGATGTCGAGGTTCCGACAAATGTCAGATTCCACGGACATGAGCATCAGCGATTCTAGTCGATCTTGCCTCATCGTCGACCTCAGGCGATTTTTTATTATTTTCAGCTTGGAAAATGATCTCTCAGCAGATGCTGATGTCAAAGGGAGAGTAAGAGCAATCTTAATAATTTTTGACAAATTGGGGAAGCATTCGGGTTCTTGAAGAAGTTCGCGGTATAAATCAACCAAAGACGGCTTTCGTTCTTTCGTTTCCTTGGCCATTACACGCAACCGTGCACTTGACAACCAAATATTTACACAC